AGACAACAGTATGGTGGTTACCAGAGGGAAGGAGGTGTGGGGATATAGTAAAGGGTAAAGAAGGCCAAATATGTGGTGATGGAAGATGATCTGACTTTGGGTGGTGGACACACAATGCAATATACAGGTCATGTATCACAGAGTTATACATTTGAAGCCTATTTAATTTTATTAATTAATGCCACCCAAATAAAGTTAATTTTAAAAATGCTGATCCTGGCCTGTTGAATTGGTTTCATGACCCAAGACCTGTAGTTTGAAAACTATTATAAGCATTGTATAAAAGTTTTTTTAAAAGCATAAGCAATACAAAAATTAAATAAGTCTATATATCTCATCTTACCATGCTGTTGTGCAATGTAAATCTACACACACACACACACACACACACACACACACACACACACACACAAGGACTACTAAATGGACCATTTCCTAAATTTATTCAAGCATCTCTATCCCCTTGTGGGATGGACACTAATTTGGAAAATGTCATCCTAGGGTGTTAACTAAAACCTTCAGGGCAGAGACAATTCAGGGGTAAATCTAATCTATATCCTAGTTAGTATGCACAAACACACTTGAAAAATTTCGAAGTAACTGGCTGAGGAAGAGTCCCTCCATTTGAAGGGGGACCACCAGGACCCTGAGCTCTGGCCCGAGGAGAAGTGTCCTAGGTAGAGGGATGGTCAGTCACTTACAATAAATATGAGAGGCTGTGCCTTGTGAAAAAGTCTAATTAAAAATGTGTCACTCTCAAATGATGGCTTTAATCACAACAGATTAGTCTAAAATTTGAAACATGGTAGATGTTAAATAAAATCCCATTTTAGCCCTAACTGGTTTGGCTCAGTGGATAGAGCGTCGGCCTGCGGACTGAAAGGTCCCAGGTTCGATTTCGGTCAAGGGCATGTACTTTGGTTGTGGGCACATCCCCAGTAGGAGGTGTGCAGAAGGCAGCCTATCGATGTTTCTAACTCTCTATCCATCTCCCTTCCTCTCTGTAAAAAATCAATAAAATATATATATTTTAAAAATCCCATTTTAATGGTTTTACCAAAAATAATGGTAGGTAATTTTTTAAGTGGATTTGTTCAGCGCCAGGGGCTGGGCTGAAAAGAAAAGCTGGGCTTGAAGCCCAAGGGAAAGAAACTAGACAAGAAGGGCGCAGGAGAGACAGAGCCTCAGCCACTCCTTGAGGCAGGTGAACTCACTTGTCAGACTTGTCATAGTGTCTCTGTAACTGCAGGGGGTGGAGGGTGCAAATCACCATCAATTCCTACCCCTTTCCAAGTCTCCCTCCCCTTGAAAAATTTAAAAAGTGCAGAAACCAGCTCGCAGAATAAACGGTTCTATAATGTGCAAGAGAGCAAATTCAAAAAGTTCAAGGATACAGACACGTGAGGCCAAGCAACTAAACAATTCTGGGTGATGCTTATTTTTGTGGCTAGCAGACATCGAATGTAAAAGGGAAGTTTTATTTTTAGAGTTGAACGTCAGCATTAAACATGTTCTTTAGAGTAAATACAAGTGTTTTTTTTTAATTTTTATTTATTTTTTTATTGCTTAAAGTATTACAAAGGGTATTACATATGTCTCCTTTTTCCCCCCCGCCCTTGACAATCTGTTTTTATTTTTGTTTTTTTGGTAACAACAGGATTACAGAGTCAAATCTGCCTCATTCTTGGTTCTATCGATGTCAATTTCCACTTGCTTCTAGCTAAAGGAATATTACCATCACGTGTTATTTCTACAGGAGATGGGTGGAGAGAATTTAGAGCTTCACTGTCCAGTATGGTAGCCAATAGCCCCAGTAGCTATTTAAGTTAATTAAAATTAAATAAAAATGAAAATTCAGTTCTTCAATTGCACTAGACATTTTTCAAATTCTTAGTAGTCAGTCACGTGTGGCTCTTGGCTACCACGCTGGGCAGATTATAGAATATTTTCATCACTGCAGAAAGTTTTATTGGACAGCACTGACCAAGAGAAAAGCCATTTACAGATGCTAAAAAGGAAATTGTTCACTTCTCATTTGGTAAAAGACTTCCAAGTCCTACCCAGCAGAACTAGCTTGACTTTGAATGATGTGGAATTGAATTTATTTTTTTATAGATTTTAAAATTGATTTTTAGAGAGACAGGGGGAGGAAGAGAGAGAAACATCAAAGTGAGACCACACCCCCTACTGGGGATCAAGCCTGCAACCTGGGCATATGCCCTGATCAGGAATCAAATCAGCAACCGTTCAGTGCATGGGAGGATGTCCAACCAACTGAACCACATCGGCCAGGGCTGTGGAGTTGAATTTAAAGGCGACTGCCAAAGATTCGATTATGATCTCAAAATATCATTCCAACCAGCCTATTTCAAATCTCTTTGCACTGACCTTCCACTGCCACAAGTTGTTTTTCAAAATCCAAACATGCTAGGAAATGATTATTGGATGATCACAATAGCTTGTTAAAGTTCCACTAACTTAGTTTGAACGTGCTTAGAGCAATTTATAAAAACAAAACAAAAAACAAACCAAAAACATAAAAATACATGGTACCATCAGCTCCAGGAATCAAAGTTTATAGTTAAAATAAGAAGGGACCCACTTCTGTTACCCTGAGAATGAGGAAAATATCTCTCACACATCTGATGTGTCCCTAGCCTTTTCATGAACTGAGACTCAGATTCAACAACACCTGGTCTTTGTATCACATTTTGAGAACTTTATCACATTTGCGCTGCACAGAACGTAATCCCCACCACAGTATGGATTTTGAGCACTATAGAGCAGTGGTTCTCAACCTTCTGGCCCTTTAAATACAGTTCCTCATGTTGTGACCCAACCATAAAATTATTTTCGTTGCTACTTCATAACTGTAACGTTGCTACTGTTATGAATCGTAATGTAAATATCTGATATGCAGGATGGTCTTAGGCGACCCCTGTGAAAGGGTCTCGACCCACAGGTTGAGAACCGCTGCTATAGATCCTTCTGAAGGGGAAGACTGAGAGGGAATACATTATCTTGTCTGTGTCTGTCTTGCTGAATTGGTTACTCAACTGATCCCAACTGGCCGGATTATAGCGTAGAGAAACCAGTGGCTGAGATGGCAGGGCCAGCTAGTTTTCCCTCTGTCGTGATTCCAGGTGCCCTGCTGACCTGGCCACTGTCCTGCAGGGGTGTGCCCAGGCCACAGAGAAACAAAGCCGGAGGACAGGTAAGAGCGTGAAGCAGAGAGATCTCAGAGAGGCCAGGTCAGCACAACACAAAACCCCTGCAAAGTCGCCGTAGGCATGAGTGTGATGGCTCTCCAACAGCGATTTTCTACCCTCCCCATCTCGTGGCACACGGAAACTAATTACTAAAATCCTGCAGCGCACCAGAAAATCTATTTTTTGCCGATCTGACAAAAAGAGGTACAAGTTTGATTCATTCACACCAGATGGTTATTGTTGTGTTGGCTGCTGTCGTTTTTTTAAATTTGACAATCTAAGGGAAAAAAGGTCAGTGCCCCTGACTAGTCAGGTATCCCATGATGCACACTGGTTGAAAATTGCTGTTCTATAACAAAGCCTAAACATGAGGATTATGCCACAGAGCAAATCTCCTCGGCAAAGCAACCTGTGAAAGGCATTTGATGTGCAATGCATAAATTAAGCAATTGTTATAAAGACACTTTAATGTTGATTTAAATAATCCAAACAGATTGCCTTTGATGGCAGATTATAAGAAACATGCATTTTCCAAATACTTTGTTTGCTCAATGTCATAACATCTGCCATCTAGTCATTATTATTAGCAAAACTTCTTCATCCTTTTATTTACCATGTCCAGTTTTTGAGCTTCCAACTTGGGGAGCTTGCAAGACATTTATTAAATGTGTATAAATAAAGGACACATCATTAAAATTCCTATGCTATGCCATGAAGATTAAATTTACATTTCTAGTTCATTAAGAAATGACAGCTATCGTTAATCCTGGAAACATGGTATCTCTAGGACATATAGAAGAAAAAGTTTGGGATTTAATGCATGAGAGCTGAGACTCTAAGATTCTTTGATCTGCAAATATTGCATATATGAGCCTAACAATTTTCTTTGAAAATGTTAAGTAGGTCAATTTATCAGCTGCTACCATGGAAGGTATACATCCACATTCGCCTATCGTTTTGATGAGCTGCAGCCTAGAGTGGAGTTACAGCCCTGCAATATAAAAAAAAATCTGCCTTTGATTCAAGCAGAGAAATGAAGCAGAAACTCACATTACCGCTTAGGCTTTGTTATTATAATAGATCCAATAACTTTATTTGGAAGCATTGATAATAATTTATTATCAACTGAATAAGAAGCAGCTATCTAAAGAGAGAACTCTTTAAGGATTAACATGGAAAATTCCCCCAAGATATACGTATTAGAAGTGAAAAGTGAGGTGCAAGACGGATCCAAGAACTTTAAAAAGCAAAACACGTCATTTATTATGTTTGGTTCCCTAACAGGACCTCACATGTAGGAAGTCAGAAGGGGTTCCTTCAAGGAGAGGGGCTTCCATTCCAACCGGGCTGTTGTCATATTCATAGTCACAATCCTGGCTTGGCCGTGAAAGAAGGTCTGGCAGGAATAAACCTGACCCCCCGCAAACCAGTAAAATGTTGAAATATAACCAAGTGCATTATAGGTAGGGTGGACGGAGGAGAGGGATGAATTGAGAGAAAAGGAATATGAATTAAAAATGGGAAAACTCCCTCGTCCTCTGAGTCCGTTTGATTTATTTAAAAGAGGAGAAAACCACTAACCAAGGGCTCTCACCATCACCCAACCTAATCGCTTTATTTCTCATTGTAGCGGATGCCCCCCAAACAGCCTCGGTAACCCCGAGAGACGGAAAACCCCTTTTCTTCCCCCAGCGCGCGCCCCGGAGAAGCCAGCCCGGCCGAGCGTGGAGCGTGGAGAGCGGGCCCCCCGGGCCCCCGCTTCCACCACCCCTCGGGGTCCCTGATCGTTACCCGGGGCTGGAGCCGAGTGTGCACCGCGGAACCGCTTCTTCCCAAAGCCTTTGTGGACGCGCTCGCCCGGCGCTCCGCACCCGACAAAAGGAAGGACGGAATCTGAGGGATCCTCCGCCTGCTGGTTATTTATTCCTGACCTGTCGTAACCTTCTGGCTGGCTCCCTTCTGTCCGCGCACCTAGGGTTTTTGCACATCGCAGCTAAAAATCATTTGAATGCCCAGTGCCTGGATGTAGTTCTCCACCGCTCAGCGCTCTCCCGCGGTTTTGTTTCATCGTAAAGAACAAACACGGGGCCAACTTCTGACCCTGAGGATGAATGGCGTACTCCAAGGCCGCCCTCCCAGCGCCAGCTTGCCCTCTGCCTCCCAGAATCTCCCAGAGTCTGTCACAAAACTGTATTCATCAGCATTTTAATAGCTTCCCCCACCCCAGACCCCGACCTACCAGTGGCACCATGTCAATGACCTCTAGCAGCAGCTGGATCGGTGCCATTTTTATCAGGCGCTCACCATTTAACTTAGTTTTAGGGAGCGCCCACACACAGTAGGTCCTTTATCATCCTGCCTTAGTCAGACTGATCTCCATTCTTTTGGGGGCCTCTGTACCACACCTGTCTCATTTATCTGTTTCCTCTCAAAGCACACGGTTCGAATTCCCCAATTTAACATTCTAGAACTCTCCCTTCCCCCACACTCTTGTAATTATTGTTTACATGTGTATATATTGATTTGTTATTGTTTTCTCCTGGTACTAGACTGTGTGCTTCTCCTGGCCTCTCCTGTTTTCCTCACCTTAACAAATGGGACTGCTACCCCTTTGGTGAAAATAGCAAAAACAAAAAACTGAATTCTAATCTAGAATCCCCTGAAAGTATGTGCTAAATTTTGTGGGGGTTAGCCTATGTGTGTTTTTCTGAGAGAGTAACTATAGTTTCCATCAGACTCTCAAAGTGATCTGTGACTTTCTCAAAGAATTGCTTGAGGCCTATCTATGAACGAACCCCAGCTCTGATGTGACACCCCTCCCAGCCCCACCACTGCCCTGACTGAAGGAGCCCTCCAGCCAGACCTTCCAGTCCATTCTTTTAAAACTTCTGGGTCGATCCAAACAATTTGTGGTCCCTCTCAACGGTCTGCACATCAGGATCACTGGACCGGGTGGTGCTTTAAGACAATGCAAAGGCCCGGGTCTTCCTCAGACCCCCTGAGTCCCAACCCGGAGTGCAGGGGAATAGTATTTTTAAGAAGAGCCACAGGTGATTCGGACATGCCCATGACTAAGACACTGCCTTTCTTGGGAATAGGATCCCTGATTGGTAATATGCCCTTATTTTTCCTTTTCTCTATGGAAGGACTCAGAATCCTTGCACTATGTTTAATTTATTGGAACATTTTCATTTTCACTTAGAGCCAGGCTCACTTTTGTTTGAGAAACCAACTTGAATTTGTGAGTATAGCAAGCCTAGAACCATTTGTCAGCAGCACTATGTCACTGCCAACTTCATCTCCAAAACGTCTATCTAAATAAACCCAGTGAAATAAATTACATTCCTGACTGTGATATTGACAGCTGAAATATTATGTAAAATGCTGGCATGAAGGAAAATTGGTTGCTATACTCAGATTCTGTTAATGTCATGAGAGTTTTGGTGAAGTTTCAAGAGAACTGAGGACAAACAAAACATAAATTTAACTGTGCTTTTATCTTTTATTGGTCTTGGCATCCCACCCATTAAAATTTGTCTGCCATATACGCAATATGACCTTAGATATTTTAAATCATGTATGGGTGTAGAATTGAAATACTATTCCAGTGCTGGATGTCTATTTTTAAAAATGTGTATGAAGGTTCATCCTGTATTCTTTTTAAAAAATGCTTTTATTTATATTTATAGAGAGAGGAAGGAAGAGAGATAGAAAGATAGAAACATTGATAAGAGAGGAACATCATCGATCCGCTGCCTCCTGCATGCTCCCTACTGGGGATCAACCCCAAAACCCTGGCATGTGCCCTGACTGGGAATTGAACAGGCGACCTCTTGGTTCCTGGGGTTACTGCTCAACCGCTGAGCCATACCAGCTGGGCCATCCTGTATTCTTGAGTGATATGTTAACAGTGTTCCAAAATGCTTCAGGCTTTGAGGAAAGGGCTAACTAGAGAACAAACAGGGCTTAAGGCCTGAAGATAGATGCCAGCAACAAACTTCCTGGGGTAGGATGGAGATCAATATACAGGGACATAATCATGCCACGGGACCCCAATGAGGCACCATGATTTTGACACCTTGTTGCTCTACCAACTGTGCTGACCCAACTCTGGTGAATAGCACAGGCGTCCATCCATCTGAGTCGGGGTGATAGTTTCTTTCTTTTTTTAAAAAAAAATATATTTTATTGATTTTTTTTTTTTAGAGAGAGGAAGAGAGAGGGATAGAGAGTTAGAAACATCGATGAGAGAGACACATTGATCAGCTGCTTCCTGTAAACCTCCTACTGGGGATGTGCCCACAACCAAGGGACATGCCCTTGACCTGAATCGAACCTGGGACCTTTCAGTCTGCAGGCCGATGCTCTATCCACTGAGCCAAACCTGTTAGGGCCAGGGTGATAGTTTCTTTGGTATAAGTGAACTTATCTTACGGAAACAACTACAGACCATTAGAATTACAAGGAAATTCTATATTCTCAGCCAATTTGCTCTTGATGATGATTCAAATCACTCTCCTTATTCAGTTGGAAAAACACACTTGAGAAGCACAACTCATAAATGATACTGCCAGGATTCTGGGAGTTCCTGCCCCTGGTCAAATTGTAATGAATCTAGTTATAATAAAAAATCTCTGTATAACAACGTTATAGCCAACCCGCCCTGGCTGGTTTGGCTCAGTGGATAGAGCGTCGGCCTGCAGACTAAAGGGTCCCGGGTTCGATTCCGGTCAAGGGCATGTACCTTGGTTGGCAACATCCTCCCCAGCAGGGGGTGTGCAGGAGGCAGCTAATCGATGTTTCTCTCTCTCTCATTGATGTTTCTAACTCTCTATCCCTCTCCTTTCCTCTCTGTAAAAAAATCAATAAAATATATTTTAAAAAAAGTTATAGCCAACCCTTCTCCCTAACCACCGATAATTCAAGTCTCCTCTGATAAACAACAAAGCCATACAAAGTTGGTTGAAGTGGCATTTAATCTTTACCAACATCTACCTATTAAAGAAAACCTTGTGGGGGTAGTTGGAAAGAGAATGAGAATACATTTGGTAACAGGATGTTCAGTGGGAACTATTCTTTTATTTCCATTTTATCAGAGGCTCCACATAATGGTTGCCTACCACTCCTCCATTCCAAACAAGGTGCAGGGCTTGCAAAGGAGCGTTCCCTTAACCTCGCCCTTACCGTGAAGGTGTAAGAGAGTTGAAGTGGAGGCTGAGGAGACTGCTGTGGATTAGAGAAGAGCTTCTGTAGAGGAGTCGTAGGTGTTCTAAGAGGCCCCTCCCCTGCATCCTGCCCCCACCCATGGACGCAGAGGGTGAAGGGGGCTTTACTCTCACCTGGTGAAGAGGCACTTCGGGCAGACCTCTCAGAGAGCTCAGGATGTGTCCCTTGCAGTTGGGGGAACACCATGGACTGGTGCCTGCCTCATGCCCGAGAAATCTAAAGGGCCAGAGTTGGCAAAAGTGGCCTGAACACAGGGTAGGAACGAGGGTGAGGAAGTAGTTTACTCCCACGGAAGACAAGCCCAAGAGAGTGAGACAGTGTGGGCTTGACTTTGATCCTACTCAACACGACTGCTTGGAAAGTCAAGCAGAAAGCAGCCAGAGGTTTGCCTCCAGGTGCTGGGGTCCCTGGGGTGGGGGAGGGGAGGGACAGAATCTAAGGCAACTAGTCAGAGGCAAAAAACGAACTTGCCTGTGCCAAGGAAATGGGTGGTGAGAGATTCCCCAGCGGTGGTTCTGACAAACCCATAAAAGTGCCCACGAGAGAAAGTGTCAGCTGGAAACATCTGCCGTGGCCAGAGGAAGCAATGGCAGCTGGAGCCCCCCAGGCCTTTCTGCCTCCGCTTCCCCACTGTAGTCCTGGAGGCGTTGGGCAGCCTAGTGAGTGTGGAAGATGGGAGAGGCTCCGGGCTGGGAGAAATACAGAGGAAGCGAGCCATTACTCCCCCTTGCCACTGAAGTTTGGAGTTTTGCATTATGACACTGCTCCAGACATATTAACTACTTATATAACACTGTTCTTTTTTAACTAAAAGTAGCCAGAGGCTTTTTATTATTTAAGAGTGACCTAAAAAAGTTATAGGGCCTATAAATTAATCCATCCAAGGGCCAGGAAGACAACTGGCCCCTTGGAGCAGGCTTGAACAGGCATGATAGCAGAGAGTAAAGCTGTGTTCTGATTATGCCATGAGTCCCACTGGGTCAATATATCAGCTCTACATTCAAATATCATGCATTCCATATGATACCTTAAAACTTCTGAAGTGTCTCATTCTGTCATCATACCTGATTTACAAGTAAGTGATATGTATCAAGAAACCCCCTTCATGTGTATACAGACTATAACTTAAGCTTTCCAATAAGAAAGTTGGAAGTAAGGTTCTGGATTAAAAGATCCAAATGGACCCTGCACCGAAGGTGATAATATGATCCCTGTGTTACAGGTGATGTAACTGGAGGACAGAAAACAACTTTATAGAGTGTTTGAGTTCATTAACTCTGATAATATTTGGAATGCTTGGCACAGAGCCTGATACGTATAAATGCTAAAGATTACTATTAATATAAAAAATAAAAATTAAAAGATCTGAATGGATCTAAGTGTTGGTTTAACCTTCTATTAAATAGTTAGCCATCACAGTTCCCTCCCCTCTAAAGGTCTGGGGTTGGATAAAAGGTCTCTTTCAGTCAGAAAATTCTGTTTTGAAAAGACTACAGCCACATAGCGCATGTTCTAGACCAGCGGTTCTCAACCTGTGGGTCGCGACCCCTTTGGGGGTCGAACGACCCTTTCACAGGGGTCGCCTAAGACCATCGGGAAAACACATATATAATTACATATTGTTTTTGTGCTTAATCACTATGCTTTAATTATGTTCAATTTGTAACAATGAAAATACATCCTGCATATCAGATATTTACATGACGATTCATAACAGTAGCAAAATTACAGTTATGAAGTAGCAACAAAAATAATTTTACGGTTGGGGGTCACCACAACATGAGGAACTGTATTAAAGGGTTGCGGCATTAGGAAGGTTGAGAACCACTGTTCTAGACTAAGGGCCTATGAATC